AGAGGCCCCAAAGGATTACCCATAGCTACACCGTCGTAACCTTGAATTTACCTTGGTAATCCTTAAGTCATTCTATGGCCTAGGATAACGCGACAATTTCTTATTCTTTCTCTCACCTTTGTTAATTTACTTGAACTTTCATTTAATTGACCTTTATTAATTTTCATATAAAAATGCCTTGACAAGTATATGTGTGACCAGATTGCTCGAAATGTATAGCTCAAATACATCACATTTTTCAGATAAACTCCGTCTTCTCATTGTTCTATCGAAATTTATAAAAGGAACTAATTGCTTTAAATTCTTGAAAAGAAGACTCCCTTCGTCTTGCATCAAACGGTTAGATGAACTTGCTAGTCTGAAGTGCAAAATTGCATCTGAAAAGGTAAAACTGGAGTTTTACAAGACCTGCATTATTACACACACATTTCCAAGACAGTTTTATAAATCCTTACGATCCAATAAGTTGCATCCAAATGTTTCTAATCTTTTGCGGCTTGCGAAATCTCATAAAGAAAAATGCAATGATATGATAAATAAACTAATTAAACTTCATACTCAGGCATCATGCGTATTATCGAATATCTCTCTTATATATGTCATATTAAATTCATGAACTTTTGCAGTACAGTGGTTGCTAAAACAAATTATACTACCAAACAAAAGCTGAGTAAATCTCTTATGGATGATAATGATGGAAATTCATTTCAATTTAACCCTGATAAATATGTATCACATTTATCAAATGTTAGGCTTTCTGTATTTGAGAAGGAAGCCCTATCACTCGGATTTAATTTATTCGTTGCACATACCAAGATTTCTGATCTGTCGATAGATACTCAATTTGAAAATCTCTATGATCAGTTGAACCCTCTTGTCCCAACCACCCTAGATAGGAAAAATTGGTTGACGTTGCCTACCACTTTCACAGTTCTTAAATCAGACAAAGGAGTATTTTAACTTCTAAACATTTCGCCGCATTAAAAAACCTCTAGAGTAGATCAGATATTGTGATCCTCAGACCTGACAAAGGTTCACGGGTGGTCGTTATCAATAAATGTGACTATAAAGAAAAAATGTTATTTATACTGGGTGATCAGAGTAAATTCTTGCAGGACGCTTCATCTAATATTAATGTTAGAAAATTGGAATCCAGAGTGAAGTCCAATCTATTAAAGCTTCTTAAAATGAACGTCATGAACAATGGAGAGTATAATTTTAAGAAAGTGCCGAAAAACATGCAAGTAAAAACAACCAGAAACATATCCATTAAGGGAATTAGGGCCATGGAGGGATGAGAGGTTGGTCGAATCGTTTCTGCACGTAAAGTTCTGGTTTGAGTTCGTGGATTGCCGATGCTTCAGCAGTATGTAGAATATTGATTCGACACCCCTTCGATCCAGGTCATTTGACTCAGTAGATTAAAAGAATAATCTTTCGGAGCGATTTGTTCACAATTAATTGGAATGCTGGTGTATAGAACTAGTGATTGTCTTACATTCTCCTCTTAAAAGCCAAGCCGGATAGTGTTCTGAGATGCGTTTGGAAAGTGATCGCATTGTACGGCCTATATAGCGAGCCCCACATGAGCACGTAAATTTATAAATAAACATAGGTGTGGCCCAATGCGGAAGTTTATCTTTAACACATTCAGGAGTGGTTGGACAGCTTGAGAAAACAATGCGGAGCTTGGATGTGTAGAAAGTTTTATTCAATTATTTTGAAATCCGTTTGTTTAAGATTTTAGCAGCCGTGTCTCCTTTAAATTCCATATTCATAAACAGGGTTTTCTTCTGTACTGTCGATAGTTTTTCATGGTGAAGTCTTGGTGTTAAGTTGCTATAGACGAGTCTAGGTGGATAACCGTTTCTGATGAGAGTTTGTCGAAGTTGATATAGTTCCCCATCTATTGTGTCAGTGGAACAGACTCGTTTGATCGTAAAGGATAAAGAGTGAATTAAATTCCTCTTTCTACTCAATGGGACTCTACTATGGAAATTCGTGTATTGTCCATTCCAATTAGGTTTTCTATATATAGATATTTGTAGGAAACCGTTTGGCATTCTTTTCAATCGGACATCAAGAAAATGAAATTCATTGTTTGCCTCTGCTTCTAAGGTAAATTGAATTGAGGGGTGACAATTATTGAAACTATTCAAAATTTCGTTTAGGTCCATGTCTTCTTCACAAATAATAAAAGTATCATTCATATATCTCTTATATAAATGAAATCTCTCAATTATCTGTAGAAGTAGAGAATTTTCCAGATTGGTCATGAAACAATCAGCCAAGAGAGAATCCAATGGAGAACCCATTGAAACTCCATCTTTTTGTCTTTAGAAATCATCATTAAATCTAAATTGCACGTTGAGCGTACATCGTAGAAGTAGTTCTTTTAAATACTGTTTTAAGATACACATATCAAGTTTAAGTAAATAATTTCATCGAAAAGAAAATTCTCTTCACTGAACTCTATTTTTCTTATTCCATATTCACAATCTATATCTTAACTAATAGAATTATCATTATTCCTTTCAAATCAATTATTTACATGAACAGTTTCCATGTTGTATGTAATTTAGAAAATAGTTAATAATTTACTTTTCTACCCTTCAATTTATTTTGTTTTGTATGGTAAAATGCTAAGTCATGAAATTTTCAAATGATCATCCATATACGTGTAGATTTTATTCAATAAATTTCATTATAAAACTTTATCATGTGTTTATGATAATAAAAAAAAAAGAAGTTTTGCAGTAACGATAATAGTAATAGAATTGTACAGATACATACAATATTTTTCTTCTTTTCTTATGTATCATCCTATTTCGAATGATAAAAGTGTATTACCCTTAGTCCATATGATAGAGAATTGTCCGTTTTCTAGATTATCACTTTATTTATTTATCGTTTTATTATTATTATTATTATCGTCGTCATCATCATCATTTCTATCAAGTTTTCTTTTCGAATTTCATTGAACTATCACGCTTTTTGGGTTTTAATTAGGATCATGAACCGATCAATGTTAGGTCAGTAATGAAAACCTGGAAAAACTGAATGGCCGTTTCGTCCTAACATAGGACTCCTTGGTAGTGGCTTGTAGAGTCCAGTCTGTGTTGATTATGAGACAGTTATCTAACCCAGACAATAGATGAAAGGTTGCCCAAGGCCATGGATCAACCGAAGTTAGATATTAACACCGTTGGATGCCGGCTCGGTGGTCTAGAGTTTAACCGTTTACATGTGAAACCAAAGGTCCTGGGTTCGAGTCCCATATGCGGGATTGTGGACGCCCAACGCTGACAAGTCTCATACTGGAACGAAACGGCCGTTAAACAGTGCTTACAGGTTTTCAATGGTGGTCTAGCTTAAATTGACTCATGAATTCAACCATGAAAATTACTCAAGTCTCCACAAATTCCAATTCTGATAATAACCCCAGTGTTGATGTACATATTGAGATACAAACTCGATATCTATTGTTTCAAGCATCAACTTGTTATCCACTGGTTTATTGAGTTTCAACATAACCATTAATTGTTTACAGTTGATGGCTTAGGTTGTAATGAATTATTATTTCTAAATGTATAAAAATATCACGAAATTGTCCGTTAAACTGAATTTCATTTATCATGGCAGGAATATAATTCATAGACGAATCGATCTGGTCTAAGATAGCAAGTATTTGATTCTGGCGTGAAATTCATGCATCAATATGGCTAAATAGCATTTTAACATCATAACTGATGTCAGTTCGTGATTAAAACTCTAACATTACTTCTTGACCCTAATGTCCAACTGTAAATATTAATCCTGATTTCTCACAATAATTTATAAGCCTAGTTTAACCTCAGTTTAACCTCATTCTCAATATCACTTAAGTATCTGTCAAATGTTGTCCATAAGTTATAGTTTTACCGTTATTACCACCAGTATAGATGGATAAGTGTTACGATATTTCAGAAAAATAGTATGTATGTATAAAGATTTAAATTTAAGTTAGAATGTTCATGTATCTGCCCTCTCCGGTATTGGGATTGATTCTGAATAAGACGTTATTCAATCATTGTTTTTAATTGTATGTTCATTGCAATTGGGGAGTTTCCCATTTTCGATTCAACTTTAATTAAACAATTATTAACTACATTCAAGTATGTCAATAGATTCATAGTTCATTTCAAAGCGGATAACTGAACTCACAGAACTACCGCCTATTTTTTTTTGTCAATAATCATAAATTGACTAACCGGTAATATCTCAAACTGTAAAGTTAAATATCACCTGTTTGAGTCCTACAATAGATACCAATTCCCGCAAAATTACAAGTTCACTTTACTAACAAATGTAAAACAGCAAGAAATACTAGCTTCAGGATTTCTTGTCCATTACCTCCAACTACCTAACATTAAAACAGTGCCAAGTCATTTAGAGAGATTACAAATTATCCGATAGAATTCAATCAGTACTAAGGGTCTAGACAAACAAAGCAATAAACACTACTTAGTTATTGATCCGTAGAAGTATTTCATGCGTTGTGAACAGATTTCAGCTATTAAACTAATGCTTAATATATGATACGCAATAAACTGACTGGGTCAGTAGTTAACACCTAATCGTTAAATCGAGTTGTTAGTGACGTAATATTTATAAACATTGAAGAAAAAAATCATTTCATTTAAACAATTGTAGACTACGAGTTACGCTAATACGCTAATAAACTTAATGATCTAATTATTGGTGCTAATCAATTGAATTTTTCATTAAATGTTCACATTATTATTATTATTATCGTTAAACTGTCAATTATTGGTTTTTATTTATATATTATTTAGTCTAATATTATGATTGTTATTTTCTTTCCCAAAATAAATTTCTTCATTTTATCTACTGAATTATTTACGTGAATCTAACAATGATGATGATTGTTGGCGATGATGATGGTGGTTAATGATGATTGTCGTCAATATACGGATGAATATTATTGTTATTATGAATAGTATACGAAAAGTATGACGATATTATAATGGCTATCAAGATTTCTCCCGCTTCATATCCTTTTCATGTGATTTTTGATAATAACGTGTTGATGTTATTATAATTATTTTCTTTGTGTTTTGTTTGTTTGTGTATGATTGACTAGCTGGTTATATTGTAAACACTTTTCAAAGCAATAGATTTAGAAAAAGTGTTATTTAAAATCAGTTTATATCCTTGGAATATATTTCATCTTGTTTCGAACTTGTTAGTCTAGTGTAACTCCATTTTCGTGTTGATACTTACATTGTGATTCGCGAATCCTTTACCTAAACACATTAAAAGTCATTGCCTTATCTATTAAGCCAATAAGTTCAGATCATTAGTAATTGGAGGAGTTTCCATTGTATACTCTCATAATTTGAGCAATAGTTACAGACGCTGACATCTTTAAATAGCCATTTTATCATAATATTAAACTTTTCATTAGTAGTTTATAAGCTTGACTTTTAAATAAAATCAAATTCAAGACATTAACATCCGTCGAACACCAACTCAGATTTCGTCAATCGGGCATAACAAAGTTCGATCAAGTTACGTGATATTTAAGTGGTTTTTCGATATAATTATCTTTCTCTAAACACCATGTTATTACAGGTTTCTAAATTCATAGCCTACTGTTGGATCTTGCGACAGTTTATTTTATTGGAATGATTTACATATAAGTGCTAAACGGTTATCATTTCTGAATAAATAATATGTTTACAAACAACTCATTAAAATCAATAATTAGTCGATTTGAAGAAATTAAAATGATAAATTATTGGATTAAGTACTCAGATTTCAACTGATAAGTTACAGGTTCAAACCTAGTCCGAGCTTTTTTTCTTTAGGCAGTGAATTTGGAACAATACCCTTCACACACACACACACACACGTAAACGATATAGGTCAAAGTACGTAAATCTGTCCTCAATAAGTGGAGTATACATTATAATATGTAATGTCAATAAATTGCCTCAACTATATACCCTTTGAAATAGCCATAATATAAGTCAAACAGTCAGACTGTAGAACCTGTTGGTTATGTACACCGGTTCAAGTTGCCATACCCCATTAACACAGAGGTCATATTGTCGGTCCAAATCTCAGAATAGTAGAGGCAGTATCAGTGGCAATAAGAAAGACTAGGCATCGAAGATACAACTCGAAAAGAAAATATAAATTAGTGAAACAAAAACGAGAAGAAAGTTGTGAGGATTTTAGAATGTCAGAATTCGGGGAAGATAACGAGTGAATGCACCTGAGCCAATGCAAACAGTTTGGAGCTACATCATTCAAAGTCTCTAACCATTGGTTACGATAATCATACGGACCCTAAACAAGTAGTCTGTACCTGCTACCATTGCTGAGTTCAATTTTCAGTGACTTCATAAATCGATGCCATGTTCCAGTTTATCCGCCAAAATATATAGAATTCATATTAGAATAAACAGTAAATTAATGCACGATCTTGAGATGGTGATCGTACTCACATATTAAGATGACCCAATCGAGTTGTATTAGTTGCAACATTTGTTTCGTTAGGTCCTACCATGCAAGACAAGTTGGTTGGAGAACAGTGTGACTCAAAGTGTTAATTTAAGGTGTGTGGGAAAGGTCGTGCTCCCGACTGTGTATGGGCGTGAGTGTATGTTGTTTCCCCCCAACATCTAACGTCAGCTACAATGCTGTCTTCTCATTGCAGAACGTAAGGATTAGAAAAGAATGACCCTAATAACTGTCCCATAGATTTCTGTCATCGCCAATAAGTCGTTTAAGGTGTAGATTTGATACGTTACGAGCTACTCACAGAAATGGTTTGTATGATTGGCCTCAAATAGCTGTTCGTAGATCTCTACAATCATGCTATCAGGTCTTCAACACCACTTCTGGTCTAGATTTTTTCCAGAAAATCCAATAAAAGTTATTCCTTTACGATTTGAGTGTAACCCAATCGTTGCCTTAAACAAGATTAAGAAATTGATGAAAACTACTTGGGAAATAAGAACATACAAAAAACTCAGTTAATTCGAAATGTAGTTGTCAGTTTTCTTAAAAGAATTTTTCGGTATTCAAAGTACGACAAACAGTAAGTCCTTATATTTGCTTCAAGCAACGATTACCTTATCAATTATAAATTTAAACCAGTAATCAGCCTCATTGAAACACATCTTAAATTTATTTTAAACTTCTCTAAATCAGATTAAAGCAGAATATCAGAATGGGTTTTGTGGAGATTTTAAAAATTTCAGTTTGAAATCATGAGTCAATTGAACCTAGACCACCAGTGAGCTGAAGACAATGGTGTACGGTAGCGCAACTTCGTGGATTGGTTGAAGTTAAACATTAACACCGTTGGATGCCGGCTTAGTGGTCTAGTTGGTTAAGCGCCTGGCGCGAGACTGATAGGTCCTGGTTTCGAGTCTCGCGGGGTGCGGGATCGTGGATGCACACTGCTGAGGAGTCCCATACTAGGGCGGAACGGCCTTCCAGTGATTCCAGGTTTTCCATGGTGGTCTAGCTTCAATTGACTCATGATTTCAATCAGTAAAACATAATAGTTTTTCGTCTCTTATTAATTCTCTTTAAATCCCAGTTGATTTACTGTTAAAAATTGACTTCGGATTAATAATGAATATTTTTCACAGATTGATTTATCAACATTCACTAAATCTTTTCTCAGTTTCTTATATAAATATTTATTGATTAGCTATAAAATACCTTAATTAAATCATCTTATCTTTATCATCATCGTCATCATCATTATAATTACTAATGGATCGAATATATCAATCGATTGGGTTTTTTCTTTCTGATTTGCTATTGTCGATTTTCATCATACACAATAATTGATATATTGATCACTTTCTCTGCAATGTGGACAGTATTCGGTTTATCAGGTTATCATACATCATTAGTATGTCGAGGATTTTCAACTCATGAAGATGTAAGTTGATTTTTATATAACTAAAACGTTTTATATATTTTATGAGTGTATTTTTGTTAGTTTCAAGATAGTATGTTGTTGGCTTGGAATAATTATCTGTGAATCGGATGTATAATGATGATGGTAATACATTTATATATCTAAATTGATTATTGAGTTCTAATTCATATCACCTGTCTAGTCTTTCGATTTTTGGATTGTATATTATACTGATTTAATTAGAGATAGGTCCCTGGGTCCTAGGTCCGCGTGGTGCGGGATCGTGGATGTGCACTGCTGTGGAGTCCCATACTAGGACGAAACGGCCATCCAGTGCTTCCAGTTTTTCCATGGTGGTCTAGCTTCAATTGACTCATGATTTCAATCTGTGAAATTTGTAAAATCTCCACAAAACCCATTCTGATAATAATCAACTGCTCACTAGTGACTGACTTCAGGAAAACTCCCGAAGTTCTAGTGAGAAGCCGTTACCAGTGGAGTTCAACCAGGTCTGTTGTGAGATAGGAACTCACTGAAGACAATGGTGTACGGTGGCGCAACTTCGTGGATTGGTTGAAGTTAGACATTAACACCGTTGGATGCCGGCTCAGTGGTCTAGTGGTTAAGTGCTCGCGCGCGAAGCCACTAGGTCCTGGGTTCGAGCCCCGCGTGGTACGGGATCGTGGATGCGCACTGCTGAGGGGTCCCATACTAGGACGAAACGGCCGTCCAGTGCTTCCAGGTTTTCAATGGTGGTCTAGCTCCAACTGACTCATGATTTCAATCTGTGTAATTAGTGATTATCATTACCTTATACAAGTTTTCTTGATTATTATTCAGTCTATTATTATGACCTTCGTTGTTTTGTCGTTTTTCTTCATATTTGTCAATTGGATTATTATCTGACCCATAAACGATTTTCATCCTTACCCCTTGATTAGAACGTGCCCTCATTTGTTATTTAGTCTCGAATCCATTTGTATGATGCAATCTTTTGTATCCTCCTATAGACATCTATTTTCCATATAACTATATATACGAATGTACAGATTTCGTTGAAAAGAGAATTTTCTTGGCTGAATTCTCTTTCTCTTATTCAGCGACACTATGGGTTATTTTAATTATCACCATCTTTACCTAATAGTGTTATGTTAGCACATTGGGTTATTATAAATACATTTTTATCCTTATAGCCATGGTAATTAACGAGTCGTTATTTCATATTATTCTTTTTAATGAATGAGTTTTATTGTTTGCAAATGCTTTTAAAAACATTTTTACCAATGAACAGCATCATTAATGTGTTCATTCTTCTCTTCACAATCTATGCAAAGTTTACACTCAATATGTTTGTTTTAATCCATGAAGAAGGTGACATCAAGTTTTAAGCTCTTATCAAAGTTTATTGTTTCGCTTATCAATTGAATGTCACAGAATAATATTAAATATTATCATGTGGACCTTATGGTTCATTTTGAGTTTATTATTTTAAAGGTTAAATAAAAGAAAAGATATGTTAGTTGACAAATCAATATGATGATAAGCAGTGAAATAACAAATCTAGTTGATATTCTTACACTCTTCTCACTTTAAACATATTGATCGTTGATTTGCAAAAAAAGCAAGATAGAAACTCTATACAAAAGTATATAACATTCTGATTTTATCGAAGGAAAATTAGGTTACAGTTAAATCATTATCTGATTTACATGGTAACATATAAATATACAGTGATGTGGCCCAATCTCTATTTATAAATTTACTTGCTCTTGTGTAGTAGGTTATTTAGGCTACATAAAGCATAGGCTTTCTGAACATTATTTCGCGTGACTTTCGAAAGATGGACTTTAAGTCAATCAATAGTTCAAGACTAGAACATATTGTGAATTCTAGTCGTTTGGTTCCATCTGATGATACCTAAATGATTAGTTAAACGTGCTTGATTTTCAATATATGTCGCGCCAAGTTCCAAGGTTACAACATCATTCATGATATAATTTCCCTAAACATATATATATCTTTTTGTACTAATAGTGATAATCACTTCATTGATATTGAATATGCAGATTTCGTAATCAGAGATTATGTTTAGTAGACTTTTGAGCATTAATTCCTGTTAAACTTAGAAAAAAATGGATTTAAGATTAAAATTGTATCTGATCAGTGGACTTTAAAAGCTAACCATTTATGGATATTGATATAATCAACTATGGTAGGAACTGTTACTACGTGTTGAGTTGGAGCCGTACTAAGTTCTTGACTTATGTCCATTATCTTTTGAACGATTTAGTGCAAACTAATTGATTTATCTGTGCTTGAATCTTGATGTAAGATACTTAGTATCAAAGTTGGCAAATAAAACAGGCGTTAAAGTTGAGGACTTGTAATTTATGTGTGGGAATAGATTTGGCGCTTTGAAAATAAAAAAAGAACACATCTCACGTTTAAACAATCATCATATAATCTTACTGATACAATGATATCAGATTTTATCTTTCTGTATAATAATAAGTATGATTAGCTCATTTGGACTAAAAGTTCACGATAATTTTATGGTTAAATGGAGTCACTTTAGTTGCAACTTTCTAAATCTTTGTTGTTAGTCTAAAATCTTTATAAAGACAAAAGTTGGTCCCTTATGTACAGCACTCCACTTTTTGGCGAACAAATATGATGTATAGTGTTATAAGTGCCTTGAAATACGGCTATCTAAATTTCCGTATTACATTGCATTTTATACCGTGTTTGGCGGTTTTCAAATTCTGTCCTGTAGTAGCCACAGATGTTGCTGCTTTGTGGATGCTTAAGTTTATTTCCAGCAGTGTAAATTAAACTGGCTCCATAGTTATTGCTTTTTAAAAAACGTTGGTAATTTATGATGGGGCATTTCCTAGACTACGTAGTTCTGTCCATGATATGGATAGATGGGTAACTTGTGTATAACTATTAAAATATTATCAAACCCTGTCTATGAAGATTTCTGCCTCAATAAAGCCATTATACTGAAAACACTGCACATATAAATGTCTGAATATTTGCTTTTTGAACATTTTGTGTAAATGTGAGAAATGTAGTTTACGATAGCAACGTGAATGTAAGGGATAGGTAACGTGTAATCACTTACCAAGTAGTTGTGTATAAGCAAGAATGGGAGTATTTTTTCTTCCGACGAGACAATAAGGTTGAGTAATAAAAAGGGTGGTCTTGAATCATATTTATTTGCATCCTTTATATGGTTTATGAAAGCAGATGTAAAAAGTGTCGACTAAATCATGCTTGGATGAATTTTCCCATAAACTCATCTCTGAATTTCAATGTACACAGTGTATAATTTGTAGTCTTCTCTAACTGAACATTTATCGTTTGGCAAACGGTTGAAAATGCTTATTTTGTTGTATCACCGCGGTCGCACTAGACTAACTAGATGTTGTTGGACAAAACCGAATGTATAAAAATAGTACTATACTAAGTTATTAACACAAGTGTCGAAGTACTATTCATGTATGTCGGGACCACTAAGTGAGTAACGTTGAAGTTGGATTCAGGTGAATTGACAGAACTAGTATATCGATTATGATATTTGGGATCTTTATCGGCTGAAATAGTTGGGGTATTTATTTCGTATACTCAACCACCCCTCACCTCGACCCGCAATGTTAACTAGCTCAGGAGTTGTGCAGCCGAACCAAGACGTGTCTGCACTTTGGGAAGCTATTGACTGTTGGTTTAAACCATGTTAGTGGGTGCAGAATATCTTATCGGAGTTTAATCGATTACTTATACCATCTTTTGAAGGCATTAGATGATATGGCTCAGAATCAGTTTCAATAACACAGATGCATTCACTTTGTCTTTCCTTTGATCCCGAGTATCCAAACGTTTTATCCCACAACTTGATTTCATTTGTCACATTGAATTTCCTTAATCACAATTTTTCTACCAGTTTTGAACGAAACCAAAAATGTCATTCTCTATCATCACTCACCCTCTTGTTCTTGTACACTTCCGTTTTATGACAATTGATCTTTAATATGCTTGAATCACTTCAATTTTAGTTAGATAAATAAAACCAGCATTTATTGATCTGGTCAATAAATTGCTTATCACATATAAACCTCTTTTTGTGGGATTGTTTGATATTACTATGCATACTCATGAATGATTTGGTTTGATGTCCATTTTTACTGGAATTATTTTGATTTCATGGGCATATTGAGACAGTCAGCTCACAATGCGCATATAACAAAAAGATTGATGTTAATATCAACGAATGAAAGGTATTAAACATTACAAATAAATGATGCTTAAAAACAAATGTTGTTGAATAGACCTGATAGATTGATATAAAGTTTACCAAAGTCTAAATCTTCATGAACATATCGATTGGTATAGTTCTAAGCAACAATAATTAACTGATGAACTGCTAGTGATATGACTCTTTCCAATCGTAGTGTGATAAATGAATATAAAGATTGATCGATTATCGACAAAATGTTATCACATATGATGAAAGTAAAACCAACTGCACTGTCAAAAATATATGTGAATCTATAAATATTTGATCACTGAGTAGTGACCATTGTCATGTTTGTTTAATCTTTCATACTGTTCAAATTTGACCGATCAATCGATAATTCGGTCACTAATCCAAGTGACTCGATATTGGCTACACTATGTTGAATTATTAGGTGATTGTAAGTAGTTCATTCGAAGGTAATTGATGCAAATTCGAACCACATAGATAACATCAGTTCCTTCAGGATTACAGATACGCGTTAATAATTAGTCCTGAAGCGCAAGAAATTTAGATTAAGTAACGTTTCTTACTGACTACTACCAACCACCTTATTTATGTGTGTAGTTATTTATTTTCACAAATATATATTCTCTTTTATATGATAACTAATAATGAAACATGAGGTGTCCATTTCATCATTGTTTAAACTTATCAAATAAATCTGTATCTCACTGTTTTTATTCACATTGAAATTACAGCCCAGTATTCATTTTGTTAAATAACAGATTACTTGTTGGCATAGTATGTCCAGCTGACGGAACTATTATCTTGTATTCCATCGTTATAAACTATCTCAAATATAATCAACTTGTAAACAGCCAACTTCCAAACATCTATTCAGTTTGTCCTTTTGTCAATGGAGATTGATCAGATTAAATCAACACTAACTTCCTGACCTTCAGATCCTAACGTATTTGTGTAGATTTTTTGTTGTTATGATAAATCATTCCTTTACAAAACTTGCATTTGGATCGGCTAGAAATTATTTCTTTTTTTTTTTACTTGTTCAAAGTCTTTTCATGTATCATTGAAAGTCATCATGTAAAGCGCACTTTTACTGAATCTCCGATCTTTTTGCCTTTTTGAATATTTCTGGTTTTTCTTGAAAATATTTCTAGTTTATTTTCTGTATAAATATATGATCACATATATTTCTTTTTATTCTACTTATCTATTAGATACGTCATTTCCCACGTATTGTAAAACAAGCTGGTCATAAAAATCCTTATTCACATAAAAATATGTTCTACAATTATGTTTATACACTTTGTGGTCCACAAATGCCTAGGTTAGTGAATTGATGAGAATAGTATTTTATTATTGTTAACATTATGTTTATTTCTGTATAATATTAACCTTAATAGTGATGTTTCCTCTGAACTGAATGATTTAATTGTTTACTAGTATAGGGGTTGTGGAGATTATTAAGTTTTTGATTGAGATCTTGAACCAATTGATGTTAGACCATCACAATTGAAAACCTGGAAGCACTGGACGGTCGTTTCGTCCTATTGTGGGACTCCTCAGCAGTGCGCATCCACGATCCCGCGAGCGGGATTCGAACCCAGGGCCTTCGGTCTCGCGCGCGAACGCTTAACCAACTGGACCACTGAGCCGGCATCCAATGGTGATAGTTTCTAACATCAACCAATCCACGAAATTGCGCGACCAACTTCCATTGTACTTAAGTAGATAACTGTCTCTACCCGACAAGGATTAGGACGAAACGGCCGTCCAGTGCTTCCAGGTTTTCAATTGTGATGGTCTAACATCAATTGGTTCAAGATCTCAATCAAAAAACTTAATTGTTTACCTCTAATTATTAATATTTAATTAAGTACTCCACATGTAGTTTATTTCACTTTTTTTCATTCTGTTGTATAAGAAACTAGAAATGAGTTGTGGTAGATAGGAGAAACCGATTATTGAAGAGACTTGATACTTGATTTAATGAATTGTTGTAGTTACGTATCAAGGATTATTAATAATAATAATAATAATAACGATTCGAACCACATACACTTCAACAATTTAGCTTGACATGCTTCCCATCTTTCCATCCAATTTTCTATCTTAGACCATATATCAGTGTATTGCAGCTATCATACTACTACTATTTCTAGTAGCAATACTAGTGTTCCAAATAGTTATCTATCTGATGAACTAGAAACTTAACATTAGTTGTTAATTGCTTATCACATAATACTTATTACATGTTAAATATGATTTAAATATTGGTAGCGCTATTTATTGAAATAGTCATCTAATCATTTCAAAGTCCACCAACGTGTATAAATAATTGTTCGCGTCATTTGTTTTTCAATATTTTGAAGGATTTAATGTTTAAACTTAACGATTTAACTATCGTTTTTTTATAGCAAATGTTAATATAAACATGTATTAATACAAATTATGGTCTTAATGGTTTAATTGTGAAATATATTGAATATTGTGCACAGCCAAGTTAAATTATGTGTTTCTATCGTATTTCAGTAGTATATGTTACTTAATGATAATGACTAGCTGAAAGGAAACCTGTTGATTCCAACTGGTATTGTTAACTAGACAAATCAAAGTGAGGATGTAGACGTTCGGTACTGGTTTCGTTCATTTTATGATTAAACTCATCAATAATGTGTATACATTTGGATTGATTGTTTAGATCACCAATTAAATGTCCAATAATAATCATTTAGTTAAAACTATATTATACTAAATTCTAATAATAATTTAAGTGAATAACTATTAAAAGTTATGAAAATGTGTCTGAAATTTATGGTATTATTAGCCTGATGTAATTTTTATTATTCCAGGTTGTAAATATTTACAAATGAACAAAATAGTGTGATATCTATTGGTCATTAAATTTCGAAATTTAACACCACTGGTTATAAAATAACATTAAACTTCAGTTTTATCCTTTTTTTGTCAGTTATCTGAATAACTGAAGCTGTTTTTAATCTAAGCATTTTGAGAAATATTGGTGTTTGGTACGGAAGATATTACGTAAAAGTGGCAAATGAGTTAATGAGGTTGTGAATCTTCATAACTTGATTTGTTTGTGACATGTAATATGTCAGTTTGTAATGTGGTGTTTGGGGTTAGTCGTCAGGATCCACTGGACCTAGATTTCATGCTGTTTCACACTTATCAGCATGATCTACCTGTGATTTTGAGGGAAATGATGTTCCCAAGCGGATTCTATCTCGTTTCAATCAATTGTAAAGAAAACACCTCAGTCTCACACAAGGTTACCACTGAGCTACCAGGGCTACGACTAACCTCCAGTAGGACTGAGGAGTATTTGCAATTGATTGGCCGTCAGGGACCATCAGTCACCTTAGGATTACAAGCACACTTTTTTGACGAGTGCCAAATATTGCGCAATATCGGTTCAGGGTATCTCGTCTACTAACGTTAGCCATTGCTTTACATCGCTAAATAGTGCACGTGGTATCGAGTTACTTAGACTAGCGGTCACATTACAACATGGTCGATCAAATTCGGTCAGCACCAGGAGGCACTTGGGATTTATGACATTGCTCACTACTCAGTGATCATTCGATTGTAAAATTACATATGTCTAATTGCTACCTACCTAAACGCTCAATATTAACTCATTTAAGAGTAGGTTGACTGATAACTAAGGTCAGCTAAAGTTAGTGGTTATAAAACGGTGCAATAGGGTAGTTAAACTGCTTGATTTTCAATCACTGAGCAGCCTGGTTTGTGATGAGTCTATTACTTGAACGCTTACTACTGCCGTCGTAGCCACCTTTTATAACTCCAAATTATTTCTACAAGTCAACTGAAACGACAGAGATAAGGCGCGAAACAATTTGATGAAAGATATTTTCGAACGGCTTAACACATTAAAAATCGTTTCATCTACTTTGTTCAAACCATTCAGGTAGTATAATGTCGTTAAGTCTGCTAGTAAGTATTCATTAATTCTCAGAAACCTGACGTAAAGCATTTCAAAATTTGTTTTAATGATAGAGGATATATACACTTCATCTTTCTGTAAATCTTGAGAATCTTATTATTTCACCCTTATATTCCCTCTGTTCATTTTTTCCTCTGAATATTTTTTCGTCCTCTGCTATTGTCTGTGTCATTTTTACTTTGTCATTTTTCAAATTGGTAATCTGTCGTTACACTGTATTGGTTTAAACTGTTGAGAGGCTCGTAATAACACAGCTTTGTTTTAGGCTCTCTCTTGGCCTTTCTGTTTTCTTGCATATTAATCAACCTTCTTAATTCAGCTTGTTAGGAATCGAATTGAAATGCTGGATGCCGTGCGTAATATGTATAATGCGAGATTCCTTTTAACTAGCTCAAATTGATCTAAGTTAGTCAACCATTCAAAACCTGGGAGTGACGGACAGCCGTTTTGTCCTAGTATCAGACTCCGAGATCCAATGATGTACAAGTGTAACTTCAGTCAAGTGAAACATTCGCACGCAAGATTGAATGCCACAGGTCCTATTCTCGGTTTCAGGGTCATATATCCTCACTTCTGAGGAGTGAAATACTAGGATGAAACGGCCGTCGATGACTTCCAAGTTTTCAGTGATGGTCTAATTTAAATCAGTTCATGATTTTAATGAAATTCAGCATCTCCACAACCCTTTACTGACAAGAGAAAAATTATCTGTTGATGAAAACTAACATATTTATAAATCTTATATTTTATAGAAAAAGTCTATACACACCTATCTAAATTCCCCGCTCAAATTCTTCTAAAATACCTATAATTAGAAGTTATGGTGTATGTTTTTAACAGATTAGTTAGAAAACAATCATGACTCAGTGAAGTTTTCAAAGCTTATGGTCACATGTTCGAATTTGTTTAATGTCTTTTGTTTTTCTAACTATGGTAACAAAAATAATCTTAAGGCTACTTTTTTATTATGACTTATTGATTATTTCTGGATACCTTATGAAAGTGGATGCTGTGTATTTCATGAATCAATTTTTTCGTTAATCATTTTTAAAGGATGATATAGAAGTACATCTATTATGGATAAGTAACTTAATCGTTAGGAATTTAGACTTTCACTCGCAGGGTCGAACCCCAATCCACCTACTTCATTATAGACAATAGGATAGTATTATTAGCTTTTAGATCTCATAGTGTGACCGTAAGCCATGTCTATGAATTCGTACCTGTTAAATGCGCTAACTGATCACATCAACTATGTGTAAATAGTATACCTGATGACTTTAAAAATAAAGTAACAAAATGATCTAAAATATACGTAAACTAATGAACAGATGATGATAGCCGTAAACACAATATAAGATACAGTGCAAGGAGAATTAAGCACGAAAAATTATATATTATCATTTCTTTTTCAATGAAAAGTCGTAAATCAACAGATACAATTTAATCAGAGAAATATATCAATTATTTATCCTAATTAGGTTTTGTCTAGTTTTATGGATTGTTTTTCCAAAACATAAGACTTCTGTCATTATTTCTAAAGCTGTTAACTGTTTGAATGATTATAACACCAGTGATAAACATCAGCTATTCATTTTCATCAGTGTAGAGTTGTGAAGACTGTTGAGTTTTGACTGAGATTATGAATTAATCAATGTTAGACCACCATTGGGAACCTCGAATCCCGCGTGCGGGATCGTGGATGAGCACTTCTGAAGAGTCTCTTACTAGGACGAAACGGCGTCCAGAACTTCCAGGTTTTTAGTGCTGGTCTAACAGTGATCGATTTATAGTCTCAATCATTATTCGTTTTATTTATAAAATTCATAAAACTATTTTATATTATTATTATTAGAACAGTTCTACCTTACCCTTATTACACAATCAATTTTTTTAGTGATTGTTTCTAATCAACGATTTGTGATCGATATAGTTTTTGTTTAGCATTTTTTTGCCGATTGAATTCAATTGATCACACTACAATGTGTCCACTATTCCCAAATGTTTTGACATTGGATGCACGATATTTAAATGTTAGGTGGTTGGAGATAGTCTGCAACCAACGCTACTTGATCTGTGTTTCATGCTAGTTCACATTCATTAGCATGGTATATGTACAATCTTGAGAGGACTGATAATTTGTAGTGTATGATTTGAACCTTGACCATCAGTATCACTGTATAAGAAGTTAGGATGAAATCCCTGTCTAGACTTTCCTATCGACTGCATTTAATTACATTGGCCCTGAAGTACGTACTACCCGTAAACAATTTTCGAATTTACCTTTCTGAATTAAGTCTTTTTCAAAGATTTCGTTCAACCTTAATGTAATGTATAATGCCCGAGTTAGTGTTTTTTTTACCAATAAAAAATAATTTGTAAATGTAGTGCAATTTTATTTAGAAATTGACTATTTATCTTAATTTGAGTATGTTTATTGCGTAGGTTGTGAGGAAACATGTGATTTTTATTGAAGAATATAAAAAATTGTGATTAACGGTTCAATAGTAGTACTTTTGATGTATATTTTCTGCAAAAACTACAGTGGGTGATGATAAGTAAATTTGTTAAGAGCTCAGCATCAATATATAGTGATGGGTGGTCCTAGTTCAAAAAATAAAGAAAATACCAGTTCTCTCGTAATTGCAGGTACGCCTTCCTAATAATTGTCAACCGGCATGTAACATTGATTCAGAGCTTTCTGTTATCTCCTACTAAAGGGCGGCCTGCTTGAGTATCTGAGCTACCTGTTCCTGCCATCTAGATATTTCAACAAGTTATCTATTTTTGTTTGTTTTAATATATCATTATGTTTATTAATCGCATAACCTATCCTGCTGCGTTTCTGAAAAGTATACAACCTTTCGTTGTCAAATTTACAAAAAACTCAATAAGAGACAATGTGGTTGCTGGCAATATACAACGAAAAGAATGCACATTATTCAGATGTTCATTTACTGAACTGCTAACATCTGACTGGGAATCACTCAATATTTATCGCCAGGACCGACCAAGAAGTAACAAACGGAAACTCGTTGAAATACTTTACGCTGAGAATTCTATATTGTACCAAAAATATAATACTGAATAAAGCTGATGATAATAATGATGATAATAATAATAATAACATATTTAAGCCAAAACCTAGACCATGATAATAAGTTTTATTGACGTTTGTGTTTTAATTACAGTTATACATTAAGTTACCTATTGTTCAGTGACTTTACAATAGTACATACGTGTCACACTTAACACAAAACCTTAGCCAAACATGATTTCTTGTAGACTTCCTACCTTAAAACTATGATACAGTACACACTTTGTCCATTCGCCTGAAATAGTGACCATATTACAACGTGGTCTATAAATTCGATCGAAATTAACAATTAATCAAGCATGACTTCGATCTCTACTCCAGTTATCAGATAATTTTAAAAAAATCGATTTAGTTTATCATGTATACAGCTTAACGCAATGTTATTTTCTGTATATTACTATATGAATTTTACTGATACTGATATGTTTTTTCTGGTTTTTTCACCTGAGTAGCCTTTTACGCGGTTGGCGAAAAGTTGGCGAAGATGCTTGGCCAATCGGCGCTAAAGAATTGGATTCCTCTTCGAATGAGCATATTCGTGATTCCACTGACAATCCATCGAATGTATCTTCTGTCATTAGTAAACATAATCCACCTATTCCCTTACCTATCGATATGTTAAATGTAAGAAACTTTTTTGTTGCCTCTCTATTCTTACTACGTTGTGTTGTTAATTTAAGCATGAAACAATTTACATGTGATAATGAATAAATTCATATACGTGTAAGGGGTTAATGGAGGTTACATTACAAACCACTGACCTTAATGAAACATCTGCTGAAGACCAGGAAGCATTTATACAACTGTTTCTTTCGAGCATTGGACTTTCTATTCTAATAATAACAATAATCACGTGCTCACTAGTTACTAACTTCGACAGGTAATTCCCGCTGAGTTCTAGTGAAAAGTTTTGACTAGTGTAGTTCAACCTTGTCGGGTTTGAGACGGTTATCCACCTCAGGTAGTCAAAGATAATTGGGGAATATCATGAAGTTATTGAAGTTCTATGTTTGTATCTTTGGATGTGTTGGCTCAGACTTCTAAAGGTCAAGCGTTCACTGCAAGACCGAACTTCCCGGGTTCGGTCCTTGGTTGAGTTGTTGGTGTCGACTACTAAAAAGTCCCATACGAGGACAAAACAACTGTTCAGTACTCCCTGGTTCCCAATTGTTATCTAAGATTAGTCCATGATGTAAACTATGAAGAATTTAAATATCTCTGCAAAACTAGTGTACTCATTCTGACATTTGTTTATAAACACTTTCATCTTTTGATGATAGTTTCAGTAGTTCTCCAATTTTAGGCTCCCTACAATATAACCATATTGACGTTTTTATTGAAAATTCTGTGTTTGATTTTAGCTGACTGATATGCTGAATCAATTATCATATGCCTATTAATGTCTAAACTCTCAGTTTTTCTCTACTCTGCAAACATTACATGGATTGTGTATTATTCTTAACTAATCGTGTTATTTTCTCTAGCTTTTATTGATAATCAGTTGATATTTTTTCATATCAGTCATCATTTTCATAATCAGTATTTGTAACCCTGCTAGTTTATCTTCCTAATTTACCGTTGCCTGACAAATTTGATAGATTTCAACGAAATGATAGGAATATGTAAATGAATATATATATATATGGAAAATGTATGTCTATAGAGGGATAGAATGGATTGTATCAACAAAAATGGATTCGACAATAAATAACTAATGAGGTTAACGTACTAATCAGGGGTAAGGAAGAACAAAATTTAAGGGTCAGATAATAGTCCAATTGACAGATATGAAGAAAAACGACAAAACAACAAAGGTCATAATAATAGACTGAATAATAATCAAGAAAACTTGTAAAAGGTAATAATAATAAATGATTAGAGTTTAAAGTGCAAAATAGTAATAATAAAAGTGCATTTTAAAAAACCCAACTAGAAACATACCCATTAAGGGAATTAGGGCCAGGGTAGGATGAGAGGTTGGACAAATCGTTTCTGCACGCAAAGCTCAGGCTTTAGTTTGTGGATTGCCAATGCCTCTGCGGTGCATAAAATATTGATTCGAACCCCCTTCGATCCAGTTCCTTTGACTCTGTAAACTATTTTAAACGAAGAGTCTTTTGGAGCGATATGTCCACAGTTGATTAAGTGCTTCTGTATAGAACTCGGGATTGTTTTTCGCTCCCCTTTATTATTATTATTACCTTTTACAAGTTTTCTTGATTATTATTCAGTCTGTTATTATGACCTTTGTTGTTTTGTCGTTTTTCTTCATATCTGTCAATTGGACTATTATCTGACCCTTAAATTTTGTTCTTCCTTACCCCTTGATTAGTACGTTAACCTCATTAGTTATTTATTGTCGAATCTATTTTTGTTGATACAATATATATCCATTATCAGAATGGGTTTTGTGGAGAATTTTAGAAATTTCACAGGTTGAAATCATGAGTCAGTTGAAGCTCAGTGGTCTAGTGGTTAAGTGCTCGCGCGCGAAGCCAGTAGGTCCTGGGTTCGAGCCCCGCGTGGTGCGGGGTCGTGGATGCGCACTGCTGAGGAGTCCCATATCAGGACGAAACGGCCGTCCAGTGCTTCCAGGTTTTCAATGGTGGTCTAGCTTCAACTGACTCATGATTTCAACCTGTGATATATATCCAGGGTTGCTGTGTAATATATGGTCAATTCAATAGTAAGATATATATATTTACATTCATATTTTAGACGCAATATAAGAATTATTTACAAAAGTGAACATTTTCCCAAGCCCCTTTAATATAACAAGTTTTGAATACATTTGTTTAAAAGTATCTTAACATCTTAACATACTAAACATCTCACCAACTAGGTTTGTAAAAGTACTAATTCCGTGAGGAAATGTGAACACAGTTAATAAAAAGGTTATAATACTAGATTACGTAATCTAGTATTATAACCTTTTTATTAACTGTGTTCACATTTCCTCACGGAATTAGTACTTTTACAAAATTTTACAAAATTTTCATATATATACGATTGTACAACTAGTGTAGTGAACAAGAACACGGGTGGGGTCAATCGATTGTATTTAGCACAAAAATTACAGACTGTCTCAATAAAATGTGAATACCATAAAGTCAATCGTCAATTTGCAAAATATCATTCCATCATATGAAACTGTACTGTTCCCGTTGCAAACACTAATCCATTGTCTCCCATTCCATTGTACATGCGTTTTCTTACAATTCCATTGTGCTCTTGCTCTTCCTTTCTTGATCTTCGCCATCTTCTGCTGCCGGACATTACGTTCTTTTAACGCACGTTATATACTACTTATATGAATATAAGTAGCTCACACCACACTCGGTTTGTGCATCAATGTAAAGCAATAGGCTTTGTTTAACACTTAGTAATGTTTATACTTAACATTTTAAATCGAATTAAGTTCAATATGATTCTAAATTATAGTGGGTCAAATCATTTGGCTACAATTCGACTAACACTTTTATAATTTAATGAATTCTAAGTTGTTCAAGTTGCCTTTCAATTCAATTACTGCCTAACATCGCTTGGATACTAAATATTGTATAGTTAATTTAAGTGTAACTGGTGTTTCAGTTGTAACATCTGTGACTTTGAGGAGAGGATGATAACTCAAAAATAGTTGACATCAACTATCTTGTAAAATTGAAGTCCAGAGCCGCCTTCAGCTGATAATGATTACCTAGAACAATTAAAAACATTAAAATAATGCAGCTGTTCGCGTTTATCTTATTGACAAAACATTTTTATTTGTAATATCATAAAATCAAAGTGTTCACATTAGAAACTACCTCACTTCATGTCTCTTCAATTAAACATCAACTAAGATGAATAGGATTCAATTATATACCAGAAATTTTATGATATAATGTTATGAAATAGGCTTTCAGTACGTGATAAACTCATTTTCGTTTATTGAATCGTTGAAAACTTCCCATCCTATTAAGAAAAAAACACCGAGTTATATAAACGAAGAATATACTTTTCAATCAACTCTCTTCTAGTTCTACATTTGTATTATCCTCAAAATTAACAATCCCAAAAAGTGGCCAGGTTTATGACAAATGCATCATTTGAAATTATAACATGAGAATTTTGGTTTATTTGTAAATTAACATGAAACTGTTAATGTTGAGATGATTATTATGAACTAGTGACTTGAATAAGTTTATACCTTAAATGAAATTGTACGATTCATGATCAGAATAAATATGGGTAACATGGGATAAAAAAAGATAATAATGTAATTACAAATCAAAATAAATGTTTGTTCATGAATTACGTAATGCGTAAATAATAAGTATTGAGTAGGGATTAGTACATAGGAATGGGTGCTGAATAAATTTCTCAACATGTTTGTGAGCGTTATAATAATAACAATGATGGTAATAATAATATTGAAATCACGAACTAACCAAAGTAAGACAACCATTGAAAACCTAAATGAATTGGATGGCTGTTTCGTCCTAGATTGCAACTCCTTAATAGTGCACATCTATGAATGTACAAGCGGGAACCGAACTCAGGTCCTTCGGTTTCACTCTCGAACGCTTTACCTCTAGGTCGCTAAGTCAGAATCCAGTGGTTTGTAAGGCTTACTCCAATTTGTGCTTGAAGGAGGTATAAACTCATTCAAATTAATACCGAATACGAGTCATTTCAACATTAACAGTTTTATTTTATGATACAAACAATCCTAAATTTACATGTTCTAATTTTAAACGATGTAATTTGCCTTATCCATGGGTACTTTTTGGGATTATTTTTTGAATAATATGATTGTAGAACTTAAAGAGACTTAATTAAAAAGAATATTCTTCATTCAAGTAATTGTGCTGAATTTTAATTATTAGCTTATAATTTGTTTTACCTAATAATTCCCTATTTCCACATATCTTCATTTTTGCTTAGTTTTTATATTCTATTCAACTGTCTTTTCTCTTATCACATGTAGACATTTGAATTGAAAAAGTATAACGTTCTCAGCTTTTACGTGTTTTCAAGTTATTGAATTGTACATTTCTACCTCTTTCTCATAGAAATTAGTTGTCAGTTTGTTATTGTTAATTTAGCAGTAGTTGTAGATAATCTTGTAAGTTAACAGTTGACAGCAAATTGTATCCTCAGTCTTAAAAGAACTGATGATCCTTACACAATACGAACCCCTTTCGCTCAATACCATAGTTTGGGATGTTAATACTGAACTATTCAAGTCATGATTGGTCACTTTTGGACTGAGCTTTGTATTAACGCTTCTAATTATACCATTAGTTCAAATTTCACATCAAGTCTTAGTTCTTTCAATATTACAGATGAATCTTGGATACGATTTACAGTGAGGTTCCTGTAAATTGCCTCCAATCATACGAAATCAATGCTATTATGACTTACGATTTGATGAATATCACTAGAAAAGATCCAGCAACTGGATTCAGAATTCTCTGTCTTGAGTATACCTTTTCATCTACTTACTAATGTCCTTTTCTTTGACCAATGATAAGCTTCAGTTGATCTTGGGCAATGACGAGATAACTTTGACTCCTATTGGCCTAGGATATACCTTTCTCTTATCCCCAGTATTAAATCTTTTTAAGAGCACTTATCAGACA